TAGACAATATTGAAAAATGGACGGAAACAAACAGAATGTCATTAAATCTAGATAAAACATGGGAAATGGTTGTAAGTGGAAAATCAACAAATCCTTTACCAGAACCAATAACGGGTATCGAACGCAAGACTTGGCTGAAACTATTGGGAACCACACTGCAGAATGATCCAAATTGTTGGGACCTTCAAGTTAATAATTTGATATCTAAAGCTAGTAGTCGAATGCACATCTTGAGAATATGCAGATCGTATGGCTACTCTAAAAAAAATTTAACAATTCTCTTCGACGCACTTATTATGTCTTTATTTTCTTATGGAATCGAAGTATGGGGTTCTGCACTTGAAAAGAAGTACCTGGAACGGATTGATAAATTTCTTAGGCGGGCATACAGATATGGATACACAACAAAAAGTGTTCAGATAATTGATGTGATTAAAGAAAGAGAAATGAGTTTATTTGAAAAAATATGTAGCAACCCAGACCACCCTTTATACGAACTACTCCCTCCTAAAATACAAAGACCGTTAAGAGAACGCGAACACGATTTCATATTACCTAAGGTTAAAACAGAAAGATTTAAACGGTCGTTTTTAAATAGGTGTCTTTTTAACAATTTTAGCTAAAATAATTAACTTAGATTACATAATAATAACTTAGTCTTAGTCTTTTTAAGAATTCTACCTAAGAATAATTAACTTAGATACATAATAATAATTAAGTTTATTTTTTTTTTGGAACCTTGTATATGAGAATTTTAAATGTAAAGTCACACGTCTGTTGTGGCTATGTTTAATAAAGACTTAATAATAATAATAATAATAATAATTCCAAAGGTCGTAGGCTCGAATCCCACCGTGGCCAGGCATATTTTTCAAGCCTGCCCGGTGTGGATATACACTCGGAGTAACATCACACAAACATCTTATTCACCTGAGTACATTACACCAACACAGCAGATTTCATGATTATTAGATTACACTGATGTCGAAGGAACGCCAGAGACTCAGTTCCGAAATATCGCATAATTAAAAACCGCCCTGACCAAGGTAGCTCTGTTGGAAGAGCATTGGGCTAGTATTCCAAAGGTCGTGGTTCGAATCCCGCCGTGGCCAGGCATATTTTTCAAGCCTGCCCGGTGTGGATATACACTCAGAGTAACATCACACAAACATCTTATTCACCTGAGTACATTACACCAACACAGCAGATTTCATGATTATTAGATTACACTGATGTCGAAGGAACTAGACTCAGTTCTGAAATATCGCATACTCGAACCGTCCTAACCGCGTAGCTCAGTTGGAAGAGCATTGGGCTAGTACTCCAAAGGTCGTAGGTTCGAATCCCGCCGTGGCCAGGCATATTTTTCAAGCCTGCCCGGTGTGGATATACACTCAGAGTAACATCACACAAACATCTTATTCACCTGAGTACATTACACCAACACAGCAGATTTCATGATTATTAGATTACACTGATGTCGAAGGAACTAGACTCAGTTCCGAAATATCGCATACTCGAACCGTCCTGACCGCGTAGCTCAGTTGGAAGAGCATTGGGCTGGTATTCCAAAGGTCGTAGGTTCGAATCCCGCCGTGGCCAGGCATATTTTTCAAGCCTGCCCGGTGTGGATATACAATCAGAGTAACATCACACAAACATCTTATTTACCTGAGTACATTACACCAACACAGCAGATTTCATGATTATTAGATTACACTGATGTCGAAGGAACTAGACTCAGTTCCGAAATATCGCATACTCGAACCGTCCTGACCGCGTAGCTCAGTTGGAAGAGCATTGGGCTAGTATTCCAAAGGTCGTAGGATCGAATCCCGCCGTGGCCAGGCATATTTTTCAAGCCTGCCCGGTGTGGATATACACTCAGAGTAACATCACACAAACATCTTATTCACCTGAGTACATTACACCAATAACACAGCAGATTTCATAAATATTAGATTACACTGATATCGAAGGAACTATAGACTCAGTTCCGAAATATCGCTTACTCGAACCGTCCTGACCGCGTAGCTCAGTTGGAAGAGCATTGGGCTGGTATTCCAAAGGTCGTAGGTTCGAATCCCGCCGTGGCCAGGCATATTTTTCAAGCCTGCCCGGTGTGGATATACACTCAGAGTAACATCACACAAACATCTTATTCACCTGAGTACATTACACCAACACAGCAGATTTCATGATTATTAGATTACACTGATGTCGAAGGAACTAGACTCAGTTCCGAAATATCGCATACTCGAACCGTCCTGACCACGTAGCTCAGTTGGAAGAGCATTGGGCTAGTATTCCAAAGGTCGTAGGTTCGAATTCCGCCGTGGCCAGGCATATTTTTCAAGCCTGCCCGGTGTGGATATACACTCAGAGTAACATCACACAAACATCTTATTCACCTGAGTACATTACACCAACACAGCAGATTTCATAAATATTAGATTACACTGATATCGAAGGAACTAGACTCAGTTCCGAAATATCGCTTCCTCGAACTGTCCTGACCGCGTAGCTCAGTTGGAAGAGCATTGGGCTAGTATTCCAAAGGTCGTAGGTTCGAATCCCGCCGTGGCCAGGCATATTTTTCAAGCCTGCCCGGTGTGGATATACACTCAGAGTAACATCACGCAAGAATTTTCTATTGCTGAAATCTGCCCAACGGGGTATCACTTTTATCACGTTACAAGGAAAAATGCACGTGGTGGATGAGTTGGTCTCTTACTGAAGAAATATATTAAAGTCAAAAAACAATCTCAGAGAAAATTCTCTTCTTTTGAATATATTGATGTCACCTTGAACTGCCGTAATACCTGTACCAGACTGATTGTCATTAATAGACCACCCCCATCGAAGACTAATAAATTAAGCAGCTGAATATTTTTTGAAGAATTCTGCATATTTGTGGAACAGTTGATAATATTACCTGGCAATATATTAATGGCAGGAGACTTTTTCATATAGATAACATTGGAGATTCAGATACTATTAAACTCAACAAGATACTGGAATCGTTTAATTTACAACAGCACGTCAATGGGCCTACCCACAAGAAAGGCCACACCTTAGACTTGATTATAACAAGGAATGAAGATAAATTAGTGACTGGTATCAGAATACATGATCCAGTAATATCAGTACATTACAGTTAGAGAAACCACAATTAGAACAAGCTGAAATTTATTATCGAAAATTAAACAATGTAAACATGGATAGTTTCAACGAAGATCTAAAAGTTCTAGATTTAAATGACGATTATGATCTTTCAGTCCTTATTGATAAATATGAAAATACGTTGAAAGAAACATTCCAGCAGCATGCTCCACAAAAACGACGAATTATAACTCTTCGTCCTTTATCACCATGGTACAATGAGGTGATTGGTCAAGAAAAAAGAAATCGCAGGAAACTAGAGCGCCGCTGGCGCGCATCTGGACTATGTATTGACAGACAGTTATATGTCAAACAATGTGAGACAGTGAATGCTATAATAAAGAATGCTAAGACAACATACTACTCTTCGGTTTTTTCCAGTAATGCACATAATCAGAAAGTGTTATTTAGTACGGTGGATAAATTACTCCATCGAAAGCCAGAAAAGCGCTATCCAACTGCGTCATCAACGACTGAACTCGTGAATAAATTTGCAGATTTCGTCAGTAATAAGATTGCTATCATATGGAAAGAACTAGCCATTGATTCTTCCCACTGTAATCAGCGAAATCAAGAGGAACAATATGCACAATGCGTTAAATTCAGTAACTTTCAAGAAGTCACGGAACATGAGATTGGAAATGTTATTGATAAAGTTGGTAAAAAATCTTGTGAACTTGATCCAGTTCCCTCAAAAATCTTTCAAGGTTGTCAGAAGACTCTCTTACCTATAATTACTAAGATTAGTAATAAGTCACTCCAGTCAGGTTGTATGCCTGAGAAACTAAAAGATGCGGTGTTGAAACCAAAACTAAAGAAAGATTCGCTGGAGTACGAAGAATACACAAATTTCCGATCTATTTCAAATTTAAAATTCCTGTCTAAAGTAATTGAGAAGGTTGCTGCCGGTCAGCTTCTGGAACACTTGGCTAATAACAACTTAGAAGAACCCTTCCAGTCGGCATATAAACGTTTTCATAGTGCAGAAACAACCCTATTAAAAGTACAAAACGATATTCTTGTAGCCATTGATAATCCTAAGTGTGTGGTGTTGCTATTACTAGATATGTCAGCAGCATTCGATACTGTTGATCACGAACTTTTACTACAACGAATGTTCAAAAGATTTGGGACAGATGGGCAAGTGTTGAAATGGTTTCAGTCCTATCTTCAGAATAGAACGCAAGGTGTAGTGATTGACGGTGTTAAATCTATCTCTAATGACTTGCGCTGTGGAGTCCCACAAGTATCAGTTCTCGGCCCTATACTATATTTACTATACACTTGACGCCTTGGTGATATCATCAGAGGTCATGGACTTGATTTTCACTTTTATGGAGATGACTCGCAATTATATCTTGCTTTTGAGTCAACCATTGAGGGAAAATTGGGAGCACTAGCACAAATTGAAATGTGTATGAAAGAGATTGATTTGTGGATGGTCAAAAATAAATTGAAATTGAATGGGGACAAGACTGAACTACCAGTAATCAATGCACGAAATCGTTCTTGCCCTGCTGTAGAATATATAGAAGTATCTAATTCAAGAATTCAACCAAGTACTTCAGCACGAAACATTGGCGTAACTTTCGACCACCACATGTCTATGGATAAACATGTTACCAATATTTGCAAGAACTGTTTTTTAAGAATAAAAGAGTACTTATCAACGTCAGATATCCAAACTTTAGTTCATGCCTTAATTACATCTAAACTGGATAATTGTAATTCTTTATTATACGGATTGCCTAAATTTCTTATTGATCGGTTACAGAATGCGCAAAACTGTGCTGCTCGACTGGTGACAGGAAGCAAAAAATACGATCATTTCACGCTTTCCGAAAGTCTCGCAACATCCCGCGTGCATGTATCACGCAATCCTGCACGGAAAACCATTCGGTATTCCTTTAGTCGTAGCTTAGCTAAGATTTTAATTACAGTCCAACTTTGTTACCAGAGAAGTACCAGGCGGGAAACGAATTCTGATAATAAATATTAATGCCCAGCAAAGTGCTTTTAAAAGAGCCATAAACCATTAAATTTAAAAATTTTATTAAAGATTAAGTAACGTTTCGTCTTAACTCAAGACATCTTCAGACTAAATTAAATTACAAGCTGTAAGAGTAATTAAGCATAAAGTAAAGCTATTATAGCAATATTAAATTACAAGCGAATACGAGGTACACAAAACGTAAGGATAAGAATGGATAATGAAGGGAAGTGACGGACAAAAATGAGAACAACCAAATTAAACAACACAAACAGACAAAACATAAAAAAAAGAGATCAGAATACGTGAAGAGGGATTGAACTGCCTTGAACGTTGAGAGAGGGTTTTATTAGCATTTTAGAGATAAAAATTATTATAAAGCATTTTAGAGATAAAAAAGCTTTCATGAATAAGGAGTTCTTGTTCATCTGAACAAGAGGAGAGGATTTCAGATGAACAAGAACTCCTTATTCATGAAAGCTTTTTTATCTCTAAAATGAAACCCTCTCTCAACGTTCAAGGCAGTTCAATCCCTCTTCACGTATTCTGATCTCTTTTTTTTTATGTTTTGTCTGTTTGTGTTGTCTAATTTGGTTGTTCTCATTTTTGTCCGTCACTTCCCTTCATTATCCATTCTTATCCTTACGTTTTGTGTACCTCGTATTCGCTTGTAATTTAATATTGCTATAATAGCTTTACTTTATGCTTAATTACTCTTACAGCTTGTAATTTAATATAGTCTGAAGATGTCTTGAGTTAAGACGAAACGTTACTTAATCTTTAATAAAATTTTTAAATTTAATGGTTTATGGCTCTTTTAAAAGCACTTTGCTGGGCATTAATATTTATTATCAGAAATAGTCCAACTTAATAATAATTATGAATATGTGCGTTGTATATTGAAGTGAAATTCTTCAACTTAAGTACCAAAGGCGGTTATTTTTTGTATTTGCTCATTTTTTATCCATTTGGCATGAAGAAGATACCATTGAACAGTTAAAAGCATGATCTTTCCGAATGTGAAAAATCTCGTTCATACGCATAGGAATTCAGATACAATAACGCGCTGAAGTTCCATTACTTTTTTTGATATTTTTGGTATATTAACGATCTTGCATTCCTCTAAAATACGTAAATCAAAGTTATAAATGCAAGTAATAAATTAAAGTATAAATATAAAATATTTATCAACATCATCATTATCAATTAAAAATGTGCTGGTAATTGATCGTTTAAGGAATACCCGTCGACTAAACCAATTAATAATCCCAACCGGAGTAATAAAATGTGCAAAAATATTCCTTCTTTGATGCTTAGCATTCCGTCGCTCTTAGAGGGCCAAATATACCTGTCATTCCCAGCATTTTTTTCGGCAGAAATCGAAGAACTTTAGGGAAATATCTGTCTGGACCAAATAATAATTTCAATCATGATAGAAATTTCAGAGCTAATCAATCTCGCAACCACATCGCGAGAAATCAAAACTGTTTTTTACGACGCACTTCGAAGCATCGTTCTCCGGGCTGGCAAGCATATTTGAGCCTTGTCATGCAAGTATAACAAGGACTTGACTGGTAGTCAAACTTTCGACCCGCGCGAATTATTACGAAAACGATAAAGCCACCATACATAGACATACAAATTCTGATGTACGGAATGATAAAACGATTGAGTTAGTCCGTTCACGCAACCGTGACCTTATGCGAAAAGCCATAAAGGCATATAAAGTAATCAATTCAATTCAACACATATTGTCTTCATTTATTGTCTTCATCAAATATAATCCTGAATTGTTAATATTAGTAAAATTGTAAAATTTGGTTACAAAATGTTGTGTTATACGGGAAATATAGCTTTCCCAAGTTTGCAAATTTTGTATGATGTACTGTACCGAATATTGTAGAACGAAAAAGCGTCCGGAAATTGCTTTCTTGTTGACCAGATACGATCTTCAAATCACAATTACTACATGAATAAACAAGGTAATAAAGAACTTACGACAAGTGTATTTTTAAACGTTGGTGCGTATAGATCTGTCACTGCTGCAGCGATTCTTTGACTTCCCCCTAGTGCTTGAACTGAAGTTGACATAAATTTCTGTTCTGATTTTTCCTGTGATCCACCTTTAGTGCTGCTATACGCGCCACCACTGGCAAAAAGACCTTTGTATTCCATCTCTGCTTCCACTGCAAATTCCTGTTTAGATGACGTTGATATACCATTTTGGAGCTTTCGTATTTCTAACTGGCCACCAAATTTGGCCGATTTGATATAATGAGTACCCCATCGAGATATGAAATCACCTGAACGATAAGCATTTAAGCATGATTGTGTTAATTTATTCATGGCTAGAAATGAATGGCAGTCAGCGCAACACATCGCAGGCGTCAAATTTAGGGAAATTATGCGTCAGCGACTCACTGCACTGTCTAAACAATGACAAAATTGATCAGATTCATATGAGTGAATGTATTTTGCATTTTATGTCTTTTATCAACTTCTTTATGAATATTGAATATGACTTTTTGTCACTCGTTGCATAATTGAATACGGCCAACTTTTATGCACAAGGGACATCTCGTAAAAGGAAGATTTCCACAGCAAAATATTGTAAAAGTTTTCCAATTTTTGCTCTGTTATTTTCAATTTCGCGCTATTTTGAGCCATCGTGTATCTCTTTTA